TACCGTGTGGCAACAACCACGACCCGTCTTATAAGAATATGCAACTCGGTGCATTGGAGATGCTCTAACGATATATAATGAAACCTTGAAGCCATTGAACATAACGATGTAATATGTAAGTCGAGAACTTTAAAATTTGGTGACGTGTTGAATTACAAGATGATTATTTCTTATGTTCAAAATGCAAAATATGCGTAGCAGGTATGATTTTCTTTTTGGTCGTAGGGCTAATAAAGTGAAAAAAATGCAAAAGAAAAAGGAATTGTTCGAACCAAACCGTCTATAATTTGATTTGATATGGTATATTATGGTTCGGTTTCCTCAATGATTTTTTATTTGATACGGTATGGTCTATCAAAAGTAAAATCAAATTTGCTGACCAACCTAGCAACATTTGGGCCTTGTCAACTCATTAAACAAACATTCACATCCATGGCCCACCATATTACACACTCATGAGAATTGAGATGGGTTGGATCCAGCCGGCTCTTTCCTCCGACCCCGTGGGCCCCATTGTCCTTTTGTCCCTATCACCCGCCCATTTTAATGAGAGATTTTTTCCCGAATTTTATTTTTTAAACAAATGGTATTATCTATATTAAGAAAAATAAGTGTGCTTAACCTTACAATCAGTTAGCAATAATGTGATTTAAACTCATCAGTATCGAAATTTTAAGCACGACTTTACATATCATAATATAAGTAAAGGAAAAAAAAGAATATTTTCATTTTCCTCTCTCTCTAATTATATATATTTTAAACAAACGATATTATCTATATTAAAAAATGAGAATATAGGTTAAATCACACCTAATAATAATATTATTCAAATTCATTTTAATAAGAATCAAACATAATCTCTCTGTTTATAATTAGACTCTTTAAATGGTTTTTCCGTCTTGATCCACACGGACTGTCCTAATTGCTAAATCTACCCGCCCCAGACAAAACCAAATTACTCCATTATCCCTAACGTGCGCGCCCTTCCACTCCGCCCAAAAACGTCGAACTGATGGTGACCAAAATACCCTTTTTCAAAAGAAACGGTTAACCCCAATTATTGCACGGGAAGTGCCTATAATCGTAATTTGAATGTCCCAGTTCTTTCTTTATTCGCGCACATTCCTCTGTTGCTCTACCTCCCTCACACGTCAAAGAAACACGCAAATCCACATTCTCAATCTTCCCTGATTTGATTTCTTCTGATTCTTTTCAATTTAATTGAACAGTTTGTATCTCATTTTTTTTCATTCGAACTTTAGAAATTTTTGGTTTTTCCGGAATTAATTTTCTAGTGCTGTCATTCTTCTGAGGTTTCGATCTCGACCGTTGGATTCCAATGGCGGCGGGATCAGTGGTGACCGCCGCCGGAGCCGCCGTGATTCTTTACTACTTGTTCAGTCGAAGGGGAGCAACGAAAGAGGGCGGCGTTGAAGACGGGGACGACGACGGCGATCGGAGCGGAAATCTCTCGAAGATGAGATCGGCGAGGAAACGGCTTTCTCGGCGACCGGCTCAAGCGCCCGCCACGTGGGTCGAGTCGCTCACCACCTTGTCCGACACGCTCCGGTTCACCTACTCCGAAACGCTCGGGAAGTGGCCGATCGGCGACTTGGCCTTCGGCATTAAGTACCTCATGCGTCGGCAGGTGAGTAATTCGCTCAAAATTGGAGTCCTTTTCTGCAAACTTCTCTCATTTGGGGGTTTTGCCTATGAAAGTTTCGTTATTTGCGTTTAAGTCCTTGCATTTTTGGTTAATTCGCAGGGTAACCTACAAGTTGCGAGTGTGTATGCTGGTAGTGATAGTGTGCAGCTTGAAGGGTCTGGAATTATTGAGGAGTTGAAATATTACTTGAAGTTGCTGACGCTTTGTATGCTGTTCTCGAAGAAACCGTTTCCGGTGTTTTTAGAGTCAGGGGGTTTCTCTCAGGAAGATGTCCTTCTTCAGAAGCCCAAGGCCGGGGTTAGCAAGCTCTTAACTTACCTGCATTTGCCTACGGTTTATATGAAATTGTTCTACGGGTAATTGGATTGATGTAGATATTTAGTACCGCAGATTAGTGTCAAGGAACTGTCTAAGTACGCGAATTTGTAGCTAAGCAAATAATACATACAAATAAATAAATCCATGGATTCCAGAAATCCAAAATATCATACTCAACCAATCCATAGATTCACACTAGAGCTGCCCATATTCCCCAGATCCACCATTTACCCACTTCTTCCTTCAAAACCGTGACGAGAAAATCATATTCACAAGCCTTTAGTTCCATCACAACCAAAGTTTTCAACTTCGCAAGGAAGCATCAATGGAATAGCTTCAAGAATCTAAATTGATGCAGAAAATGAGAGATGAATATCTATGTTAATAGAATGATGGTAGTAAAAACTCGCGAAAGATGAACATTTATTTTATTGGACGATTTATGAGAAGTGAAATAAGCTCAATTTATTTTGTAATTTTTTTACTAACCTCTGTGTTTTGAGTAATTTATAGTCATGTCGGATACAATGGTCCTCACAATTCTATGTTCCTGTGAAAACCAGCTTTTAGTTTATTATTTTCTGTAAAGTTTTGATTGATTGCTCTATTAATTAGAACAATTATTCTTGCAGCTTCTGAAGCCTGCCTTCACAATTATACGTGATAGGAATTCAAAATGCTTCCTTCTATTAATACGTGGTACACATAGCATCAAAGATACACTAACTGCTGCAACTGGTGCAGTGGCCCCTTTCCACCATTCGGTTTTGGATGATGGTGGAATAAGCAACTTAATCCTAGGGTATGCTCACTGTGGGATGGTTGCTGCAGCCCGTTGGATTGCTAAGATCAGTACTCCTTGCTTGCTGAAGGCTATTGGTGAATATCCTGACTACAAAATAAAGGTAAATGTCATTTCTTTAATTTAAAACAGCATGCCACTTTGTTCGCTTATCTGTCGTTTCAAAACTGATCGTATGCTGTCTTGTTGCTTTTCCTGCTTATACGTGTTTTATGCCTGCTAATGTTGATATTTTCATATCAGGTTGTTGGGCATTCACTGGGTGGCGGTACAGCTGCGTTGTTAACATATATTCTTCGAGAACGAAAAGAATTCTCTTCAAGCAATTGCATTACCTTTGCCCCTGGTATGTCTGCTGAATTTCTTTTTGTTAATGGTTCTGCATTCCTTATCCAAATGTTCATGGAAATGCACCTATAAATTATCCATTTGTTCATGGAAATGCGCATATAAATCACATAGATATAAGGTATAAATATGAGTCGTTACTTTAAAAAAAACAGTGTGTGTGTGGGCGGGAATGTCATTTTAAGCTTGTAAGTTCTGTGCTTGCTTTAAAACCGTGTTTCCTGAAATCTTCTTAAGTCTTCTTTGTTAGAAAATGCTCATGTGCCTGTATCTAATTTTCATTTTGCAGCTGCCTGTATAACATTGGAGTTGGCAGAATCTGGAAAGCACTTCATCACTACTATAATCAATGGCTCCGACCTGGTGCCTACTTTCTCAGCAGCTTCTGTTGATGACCTCCGCTCTGAGGTACTGTATGTTCTCCAGATTTGACTGGATGCATATATCGTTCATTCTTGCTAATCGTGAATATAGTGCAGTTCTCATCTGTTAGACATTTCCAGAATTCTCATTGGAATTTGCCGTAATCAGGTTATAGCTTCATCTTGGTTAAATGATTTGCGGGATCAAGTTGAGCGCACACGAGTTTTGAATGTTGTTTATCGCTCTGCAAATGCTCTGGGTTCTCGTCTACCATCTATAGCTAGTGCAAAAGCGAGGGTTGCTGGTGCAGGTGCACTATTGCGGCCAGTATCCAGCAGCACGCAGGTAATATAATTTCACTTATTTGATTGACTGTTGACGGTTGACTTGTAGTAATTTGGACGATGTCTTATGAAGAACTATTACTTAAGTGCTGCTACTTGACTCATTTGGTTGAACTAAATTATGCTGGTCCATCTGTTTAAAATTTAGGTTGTCACAGTCCTCACGGATCATCAATTATTTCGGGGCACCCTGCATCATTTTGCAATCTTGCGTCTACTTTGATCTGTATTATGATTATGCTTCTGCTTGGTAACTTGCAGGTTGTGATGAAGCGTGCACAAAATGTTGTTGTGAGAACCCATTCATCTATCTCATCGTGGTCTTGCATGGGTGCACGTCGACGTAATGTGAGCCCATTGCTGAACTCTAAAGCAGACGATTTGCATGAAGATTCTCTCATATGTGAAAAGGATTCTGAATCTCGGGCTGAAGGAGTAATTGTGGACCCAATGCTGAATAACTTGGAATCTAGTTCTAGTGGTGGATTGGGTCATGATGACACCGACGAAGAGGAGCAGCTTTTGGCAGTGAATAGAAATACTGCAACATCTACCGTTGAAGACATTACTGAAGGCGAGTTGTGGTATGAATTGGAGAAGGAGCTCAAGAGGCAGGAGAATGAAGTCAATGTCGAGGCCCGAGAGGAAGAGGCTGCTGCAGTAAAAGAAATAACCGAGGAAGAAGATATGCTGGTTGGTGTTGCAGAAAGCAATACGCCAATCTCTTCCTCGGATGTTTCAGAGAACCACCGCTTCTTTCCCCCTGGCAGAATCATGCACATCATATCAGCCCCTTCATCTGATGATACAAATTTAGATAATGACGGGCCACCAGCTGAAGAACGAGTGGGTATATACGAGACGCGTAGAGAACTGTACAGTAAGCTCCGACTTTCTAGAAGGATGATTAATGATCACTACATGCCTATGTATAAGAAGATGATGGAATTGTTGATCAGGGAACTGGAAAATGACGAATCCAGTAATTGTATCATGTGAAAATATTAAAATCCCTTTATGTTGCATGCCCTGTCTGAGTGCGCACTGTACAGTTAGATAACTTAAGATTTTATATCTCTGTTTCTTGATCTATGGGTGGAAGTGCTTATACCCACGTCCTTGATAAGTTAAGATGACAGAAGCACTTTTGGAATGAGCCATTTTACTTGAAGCTGTTGATTCCGCATGCTTGGTTTAGAGCCAACTTGGATGCTTATTCGGTGCAAAATTTGCAAGTTGGACAGCATCTGGATTCAACTTTCATCCTAAGTCAATACAACGACGTCGTTTGTAGAACGACACGATTTCCTGTTTTCCGATTATACCCCCTTAAAACGACGTCATTTCTGTTGTTCTCTGTCCCTCCGCCTGCGTAATGATCACCACCACTCTCCATCTCTCGTTCCCGCATCCTCCGTCTTTTCACTACCTGGCGTGCGGCGCGTGCTCCCACCGCCAACCTCTCTTCCTGTCCCATCTCACCTTCCCGACCTTACATATCTCAAAAAACCCTCCACTTCATCGGCTCCGAAGATCATCTCCGATCGCCATGTCCTCCGATTCCGGACGATCAAGCTCGCCGGCGATCCAACCGCCGCCAATGGAACTCAACGACGAGTCGGATTTCGAAACCATCGTCTCACCCGACGGCTACATCTCCATCTGTGGCTTCGGTTCCCTCCTTTCCGGTACGTACAATCTTCCCCATCGCCGTCGTTGTTTTGATGAGTTTTTTGTCGTTTTGATGAGTTTGATGTTTGCGGGAAGCAGAGAGAAGCGCGAGGAGTACGTTTCCGGAACTGATCAACTTCAGAGAGTCGCGGTTGAACGGCTTCCGGCGAGTGTATGCTCACATGGCTCCCATTTTCTTCGAGCGTGGCATTGCCAAGCCTGAGACCAAGGTAAAAAACAAAAATCAAAGAGAAATTGTGAAGAAATTTTTACCCTTTTTTTTTTAACTTTGTAAAGGAAATGCTGGGTAAATTCTAGTTGTTGAGTCTGTTTTTACTAATTTATAAATTTGTTAACACATTGCAGGAGATTGCGAGCTTGAGTGTAGAGCCATTTGAAGGGGAAAGCCTTATAGTAACAGTGTTTGAGATTAAAAAATCAGAGGTATAGTTATGAAATTAGAGTTAAATTAATATGAAATTAGAGTTAAAATTAATATGAAATCCTTGAAAATTACAAGGAAACTTTGGTATTCATTCCCAACTCATATGCTAAATCTTACATTGTTAACTTCAGATTCCAGCTTTTATCAAAAGGGAGCCGGAATTTCGATTCCTAGCTGTAAGTTGCTGCGTTGTTTCTTGCTGTATCTGGTTGTTGATAAGAAGAGCCTTAAAAAGAGAATAAAGGAAAGCTTAATTTGGATTTATTTGTTCCTGCTGTAGGTTGTGCCTGAATCACTTGATGGGAAGCCATATGATAACCGAGCGGTGAGAGTACAACGTCTATATGTGATAGCAATAGCTTCAGTTTGTTAGGGCTTTTTGCCCTTCTCGTTTTGGGTTTAGTTTAGTAATTGGTGACGGTGGTTTGTTGATGTGGCAGGTTCTTTGTGCTCGTTATAGTGATGAAGAATTTTTCAGAGTTAGATGCAAAGGTAAACCTTCTATAATTCATCATGCTTACCTATCCAATCTATAATTCATCATGACGTAGTGCGGTTTTGATGCTAATTTGTGCTCTGGTTTTTGTTTTGCTAGACTTCAGGAAGTAAACAATAACGTCTATATAGTTAACTATTAATTTTCGGATTGCATTGTTAGATATAAAGAAATATCCTTTATGCTTTGGTTTTAGCTCAATGATCGTGCTTACCTATGCAATCTATAATTCATCGACGTAGTGCGGTTTTGATGCTAATTTGTGCTCTGGTTTTTGTTTTGCTGGACTTCAGGAAGTAAGGAGATGTATTATGAGCTATTTGGACGATATAACATTGATAAGATTTGGCGAGATGACATCTTACCTTGTCGCACTTACCTTCGGCATTGGTAAGTACTAAGTTTAATAATTTGACATGTAATCTTATCAATAAAAGAAATCAGCTCATAGACCGGCTTAATTGCACATGAACGGACATTGGAGTATATTTGAGTGATTTGATTCATTATATGGTTTCTTTGGCTTTTCTCGGTTTCATTTGTACGAATGTGTGATCTTTTTCAGTACAAATTTTGTTAGAACCTTCCTTTTCGGAATTTGCATTTGGCTGGAAAATGAGCGTGAAGAGCATGCTTATACTCTGCTTTTAGAATATGGTTTCTTTGCCAGCTTCTCCTTGTATGAACTAAACTGTTTGAAACATGGCTTTGTAGTGTGTTAGCAGCAAAGAATCTGAGCGAGGTAGCATACAACAACTTCTTGGATCATACTTTTCTTGGAGACCGTAAAACGACTATCCGCGAGTACTTGGCTACAACAGGTTCGGGCATCATGGAAGAAGAGCCTCCAGAATCCCTCAAGACCCGTTATGGCGGTTAATATTAATTAATCAGACGAGACCATGTGTTTGCAAAGCCTTGTCTAATGTTTCTGAACTTGAAACTGATACATCGATTCTTCGAAAGCAGTAATTTGTGTCAATTCGTATCTGAAAGAAGCAGAAGGGATTTAATGCTAAGCGTTTGCCTTGTGACTTTTCTGTTGTGTCATATGAATTTCATGGCTTAGAATGAGCAACATTTTTGTTGCACTTCCAACCTTTTAAAAATGGTACCCAAAATCCCTACGGATTTCAGGGATAAAGATTGAGGAATCATTTTACATAATTTGATTTTGTTGTTCAATTGGGAGAATTAGAAAACGGAAGGGTCTCGAGACATCTACTAACATTGAGACGAGAAATAGTACTAGACAAAGAGCTACTTGTTCAGTCAATGAGACCCTTTCCGAAGGATTTGCCTCATTTCCTGGACATGCTTGTACTTCACTTTTATTGGTTTGGCATCACACATTGCATTTTTTTCTATATTGCAATGGACCATTGAGTACCTGAAAAATGAACTACCACATTTGAACATTGAGATCTAATTCCTACTATGCGATACTACGAAACATTGTAGCCACATCCCAGACTTCATACTAGTTTGGTTTAGCTGAAATTAACGTAAATAAAAACTGGGACCATAAAAGGTCTTTCATAAACACCAATAAACGGTTTTTTCACAATTTTATGTGAAAAAAGCTAAAAAGCTGAAGCAGCAAAAATGAGCTTTAAGAAACTGTTTCTCCAAAACATGGATGAATAGTGTCGTTAATGAATCAAATTTCCAAACCTACCCTTCCTCTTTCTCTCTTTTATTGTATGAGAGCAAAATTTCAGATTTGAAAATTCAGCTTTGGTTCGGCGTCCTTCGACCTCACACCTCCTTCCTCCCACCTTTTGATTGTTGCTCTTTCATCTCCATATCGCGTTCTCCCTCGGCCTCCCGTACTTCGTTTAAAACAATCACAACTCTTCCTAACGGTTTTTCTTTGAAGTGTACAAAAAGGCTCAAAACAGATACAGTTGTAACTCCAATTTCCCAAAGGTTAGACAAACTTATTGACCAGGGAAATAAATAAAAAAAAAAAAAAAAAGTAGATAAACTTTGTCCCACATCGATGAGCGAAGTGGTGGAAGGTTAGAAGCTGGCTATAAGTAAAACGACACGGCACGAGTTTCAAACCAACCTGTCCTGTCAGGAGTGAAGGATGACTCGTCAATGATCGCCAAAGTGACGGCGGGTCGTGCCAACACCTATTTGAACACAGCGATTCGTACGTGCTAGACCCACCCTACTTCGGTGGACGTGCACGTCAATTTTTGAAAGCCTCGCTCTCGGTGGTGGGGCTCCAATAACTCTGAATGGGTATTTTAACCGAGTATTTCCAATAACTCTGAATGGGTATCTTAACCCAGAAAAATACTAGTAGCCATTTCCTTTTTACGTGTATTTCATTAGTTCTCAAACTATACTTCATATTAAAATTCAAAGTTTTAAAACACATTAGTCGGGTGTCAGGTTGGGGGGGGGGGGGGTAGTGTTGGTGTTTAGCATTTAGGTGATTACGCCAGGGGCTTGGATGAACTAAGTGGATTTAAGTAAATTTTGATTTATTATAAATAAGTGCATTTATACTTAAAAATGTGCGTAATTGTATTGAGATATATAAATTGAAAAATAAAATGATATATAAATTATTATGTATTGAAAAATATTGAGAACATGAGGAATAATCATATAATGAATATTCAACAAGTCTCTTACATCGTATTGGAAAAATAAAATGCAAAATAAAGGTTAAAACAATTTTCTGTATAAGTGAAAGTCACCATCTAGGTGGGTTAGGCAGACGCTTAGGAGGGCTAAGCAAACGCCTAAGTAGGTATAGGCACTCTTTCTTAATTTTCAAACACCTAGGAATTAATCAGGACAGACCATTGCCTCCTAGTGCCTAGCCAAGGCATAAGCGGCGTCGACGTGGGTTTTTAGAATAGTAATATTTAACTAGTAATTATATTAAATTTAACTTTTTTTGTAATTATTTTAAAAATTTAACTATTTTTTGTCATTATATTAAAATTTAACTAGTTTTGTCCTTTTGTTAGTATAATTAAAATAAAAAATTTCCAATAAAAAATAATTAAATATTTACTTTTGCATGCTAGTGAAATTATGTGACGTCCATAAAAATGATAAAGTTACTATATAATAAGGAAGTCCTCCACAACTACTCTGACATTCCATTGGAACAATACAATGCCATAAGTTGGACTTGGATCCCATCTAGATCCAAATTGCGAGGATCTCTAGCCATTCATCCGGCATTATGTAGTAAAAAATTATTTAATTTTTTAATTAAAATTAAACACAAATAGTACCTGACGAAAATTAATCGTACAATGTACGATGAATAGCTAGGATGTGAGGATCCTCTTCCGTACAAGTTATCCACAAGAGAACCTTGTGCAGGCATGCCAACTTTTAAACAGTGACATACGGAGGGCTTGAGCCCTCCTCTCTCTATAATTTTGATCTACGAATTCGACGGACAAATATTTTCCTCTCATAATACAATATGTGCAGAATAATATATCCAATGCTGGAAGGCGGCTGGAGATTGTAAGCTCGAATTACTTCAAAATCGTGTTCAATGAAAAACTTGAGGAGACGCGTAATACTCGCTCTCGTTGAACACAGGTCTCAGATCTTCTTTCAACATGAAATCCAAAGGGAAACAAACAAGATGGCCCTTCACAGAGACTAACCTCTCCATGGGATTTGCTCTCTTCACATCTCCATTTTGAAATGATTCTATCTGGTCAGGACCAATTCCCAAGTCGATAGTTGTGTGTCCAATTCTCTCCTTCCAGCAGGCTATGCTTTGCCTGAACGCAGCTCTGCACGACCATGGTGGGATTGGGCAAACAACTTGTTAGCAAAATGAGAAAAACGCAAGGGATAAGAGGAAGGTTAGAGATGCATATACCTGGACTGTATAAAATCGTTTGGTATGCAAGAAAACACATCTTGGTAGATTGCGGTATTTGTCTGTCAAAAGGAACAAAAAAAAGTGTATATTTGTTAGATACAAAGCAGCGTATTCATCAAGATATTTTTCTCCTTGTTTTTCTCACCTTTGCAGTTGCCATCCAGATGTCCTTGTAAGTTGAATCAACAATTGGGTCGAGTATTTGACTCATCTGACAACAAAATGAAAAATGTACAAAGACAATCAGGATAAGTGACACCGGGTTTTTTGAGATTCCAAGTATCATAGTCAGCACAACTGCGAATTAAAAATCGACAAAAAAGAAAAAACAGGAATGAACAAAACTAGATTTACTAACCTCTGTAGCACGAATACCAAGGTGTTCAGACCACAGTGACAAGCGAAGACTCAATGAAAACTTTCCAGCCTTCCATGGCTTTCCTCCCATAACTGAATTAATCATCTCTTTATCTTCAATCAGTAGACCAATCTAAGATGCAGAATAACAACAATTAATGGAAGCAACCATGCATGTAGAAGAGAAGCACAAGGAAAGTCATGTTTACGCAGGAGACAATATATACTGAAACCGTACTACATTTACAATTCTGTGCTTATACGCTCAGTCAACATTCTGTTGCATTTTATTCAGTCCAAACGCTTTACCAAGTCATTTTGTGCACTTCGGCCATGCATAACTTCTGTAGTATATAAAGCAAACACACTTTCCAACTTCAAGATTTTAAGGGTAAACTGCCGTTTGACCACCTGAACTATTACCCCATTTGAAATTGACCCCATAACAATATTTTTGGTAAATTAACCCCCTAAACTATTTGAAATCAGCCAATTAACCACTCACTGTCAGATTCGATGAAATCTCATCCACTTTGCCGTCAAATATTGCACGACTTTACCCTCAAGAGTGAATGACGTGTTGGTCACGTGCCAGCATTTGGCAAAAAGTGGATGAAAATTCATCGAATCTGACGATGAGGGGTTAAATTGGCTTATTTCAAATAGTTCAGGGGGTCAAATTCAACTGGGGTAATAGTTCGGTAAACGGCACTTTACTCAGATTCTAAGGCACCATCAAATGTATGGTAAGATGATACAGGAGAAACCACAGCAGGAGAAATACCTCAGAGTCTCTTGAACCAAGCAAACTCCTATCATTGATGTTAGCTGATCCAATTAAAGTTGTGCAATCATCGACAATCATGATTTTACTATGCACATAGACCTGCAGTGCCAATAATAATATAACAATGACGTATTCATGAGGTGGAAGCTATAAAATTTGACAAACATATTACTAATGTCCTACATTGGAAAGAGATACACAAGCAGACATGAAGTTACATTGATGCTAGGGAATTACCTGACTACAGGCCACAGGACCACCTTCATAGAGTTTACCATAAGATCTAAGGCCATAGAAGGAAATGTAATCATGCATCTTTGGACCAAGAATTTCATTAAGATTGTGCAATATTGAATTCTGTCCTCTGCAAATGGTTCGATATTGCCAATGCATAACAGCTCTCACAGATGCTGCACCAGCATCATCCATACCTCCCTGTTCCACCACTAAATCAGTAAGAGGAATACATGGGCAGATATATTCAAGATGTTATAGATTTGGACAAGATCTGGAACCTGGAAGCCGGGTATGAGCGGAATGACAATTATAACTCTAAAAGGCTTCTTATCATTGTATGCTCGCATAATACGTCGAAATAAAGCTTCTAAAACACGATTCCGTATGATTTCATCTCCTGAAAGACCTGATATAAAAAATTGATTCTGGGAAGAAGTTGGCAAAAAGTAAAAGGACGTCAGAAAAATAGTTATACCAAAGTCCCTTGCAGGATACCCAGAAAGATCAGAAAGCAGAGACTGCATGGTGCAAAAAAGCATCCACAAATAATTAGAACAGTCATCCTGGCCTGTCCCCTTGGGATTGGGAAAAAGGAAAGAGATATTCTCATCATAGACTCAATGCTGACGAAATTGACAAGAAATTTCATATATGACTACTAGCAAATTCAACTCATGCAGCAATATTTTTTTTTTTTTTGGAATAAAAATCTCATGCAGCAATAATGCTTGTCAAATTGTCGATAAAGTTTTGAAATACTCTTTATTTTTAGCATATGC